AAATATTTTCCAAAACTTTGACTCTCCCTGCTCTTGGGGAAATCATTCTCTCCCCTCTAGCCCAAAAGAGCTGCCATTGTTCCTCACAGTCTTATATGCCTGCCCACTTAAGTGCCTGCCTGAAGACACTTTAATTTCTTACCTCTAAATTTCTTCTGTCTCTTGTCCTTTAAGGGAGGAAAGAAGAATGAGAGAGGAGAAGGAAAAAGGAAAAAAAGAAAAGACATGAAAGAAACCATAATTATTATATAGAGGAATGGAGAAGTAATGATAAATCTCTGTTAGAAATTTCAGACTTATCCCTAATAATAATCATTGGTTTTAATTATGCTATCTTCACAGGTTTTATAATCAATGAGGTGGAAGATACAGATTTAATAGCCGGGTCACATCAACTCCCAAGGAACTGGTAGTATGAATTCATACTAAATAGAAAAAAAAAGGGGCTTGTGTGTGTGTGTGTGTGTGTACATGTGTATGTATAGAGGAACCATGGCTTTTTTTAAATTAATGTACAATTTTATGGTTGTCACATAAATCATGGAATTTGAGATATTTGGAAGAGTATCCCCCTAATTAAAATAAATTATCAAATATTTTAACTAAGTTACATTGATTACTCTAAGTAAATTTAGATTATTTTGGAAAAAAAGGGATATTTTTGTAGGTTTTCTCCAATCACAACAAGCAACACACTGAAATTTCATAGTATCTTGCAAGAAACCAAAGGAGTTGTATGGAAAAATATGCCTATACTGGTTATTCACATTTTGAAGTTAGAATAATCAATTAATGGAAATTCAATGCCAGTGATGCACTGGAAAACATTTAACAATCAGCATTCTGGGAGCATGGGCATGGGGAGATTGCTGACTTGTAGTCTTTGCCAATTTCTTAGTGAAAACATTCCCATCGTGGCTGGTTTCAACCTACCGACATGATGTCACTGAACATGGAATTATGAAGAGATGCCAACAATCATTCACTCACTGGCTGCAGCACACACTGGAATGTACCAATTTTTCTCCTCTTCTAAGTTGAATTTTACTACTTATTATGTCAGTATAATATTATTTAAGACAAAGATTGAAACCTGTATGAGCCTATGGTTACCATTAATACAAAATCTGTATCACCTTTCAGCGAGTGATTTCAGTCAGAGAAAGTATGTGATTCCAAAGGACCTGAAGAAAACATAAGGCCTGTGGAAATGCTACTGCAGGTAGACACTAATCCTGTGGATAAATGATCTGATGCCTGACAAATACATTGTACCTGACACTTGGTGCTGGTCTTTTCAAAGAAGCAGCTGTGCGTGTTCTAGATGAATGCTGTCTCACTGCAGCAGCTCCCAGCTGGCAGTACTGGAGTCACTGCTGCTGCAAGTTCATTATGAAAGCAAACATCTTACCTGCAGAGCAGATTCACTCAGCTCCACTGCTTTATGCAGACCAGAAATGATATCGATGGCAAGTCAGTGTGACTTCTCCAAAGTAGATTGAAGGGATTTACAGTAATCTGAGTCAAACACAATGCCAAAAACACTACTCATGTTGCTAATTAGGCTCATGGTTGGCTCTGAACCCACTGGGAGAGAGAATATTTAAATAAATTTGTAGCAATTAATGTATTTGCTAAATCTGTGTTATTTTTATGCAACTAAGACTCTTATTAACTGTCAATATCTGTCTTAAAATCTTTTTTGAGTAAACTGGGGACATAAAAAAAACAATTACTCAATAGATAACCTCCATTGTCATGGAAATTGACACTATTTAATGAGAGGTTCCTTGAAAGTCTTTTCTTACATTCCAACATCTTGAATATCCTAGCGGCCTTTATATCCTTTGTGACACCTATCCTGAAGTCATTTACATTGCTGTCTCCTCTCTTGGAAAAGATGTCCCACTTCCAGGTACCATATCTTTTGTAATTTCTCTGATTGTATGAAATGCAATGCAGAGATCCACTTGCACAGAAACTCTAAAACAAAAATACTGAGATGCAGATATAATACCATACTGAGAACCGAGTCTGACTGTAAACTGGTCGATGAGACCTTGTGATGTGAGAATGAAAAGAACAAAGATTCCTTTTTACTTATGTCAGCAGTCTGTGGACCTTTGACAAAGATTAATGTATCTAAATTAAGAACCCTGGCTTTGAAGACAGGCTTCCTGGATTTGAATCCAATCTATTACTAGTAGCTATGACTTTGGGGGGAATAAAATCACTTAACCTCTCTGAGCCTCAGTTTCCTTATCTATTAAATAGGGAAAACCTATTCTGTAATTATTGCTGCTGAGAATAAACTGAGAAAAATCTAGAAACCATTTAGAACAATTTCTCAAATATACTACACAATAAATGTTATAATGGTTGTAAATTAAATATGCAGATGAAATAAGGACAAGTATTAAAATAAGCGTATATAATATGGCATTCAGTTTCCCAAATTTTTGCTATATTCTGATTTTGGAAGTCATCAAACCAATATTCAGCTTGCTTTACAAAACTTTAAAATGGTGTCATTCTAACTGGAGTGTATTCAGCTATTACATATTTTGGAAAATCTGTGCAAGTCTGGGCATCACTTCATCTACGCTACATACATCTTCTGCTTCTTGTTCTCAAGGGGAACCAATTACATCTCTAACATCTTCGCCTTTTAGATATTCACATTCTCAATACACCTTTCTTGTTAATACTATATATTTTCTTCTTCTCATATAACTTATTCTATCTGTCCTCCATAATAGATAATTTTGCTTACAGAAGAAAAAAAATTAAGTTCTTAACATGACCCCCAAGGCCCCCACAATGCTTCCTTCCTCTGTTTCCACCTACTGTTGATAACTTTCCACCAAATTCCATACTTTTGCCAGACTTGATTACTCACCYAATTTACCACATATTTTCATTTGCTCAATTTATTACATTCAAATATTTGACGCTTACTTATTACATGCTAGATGCCATGCTAGGTGTTAGAGATTAAAGGTTTTTTTAAATGCTTAGGTTTCACTTTTAAGAAACTCACAATCTAGCTAGGCATGGTGGTGCACAGGAGGATCACAAGTTCAAGGCCAGCCTCAGCAACTTAGCAAGGCCCTAAGTAACTTAGTGAGACCCTGTCTCAAAATTAAAAAAAAAAAGAAGAAGAAAAACAAAGGGCTGGGGATGTGCTCAGTGGTTAAACAGCCTTGGGTTTAATCCCCAGTACAAAAAAAAAAAAAAAAAGAGAGAGAGACAAATTCAAAATGTAGCATAAAAGGTATATAAGCAACTCATCATAAAATAGTAATGTGATAAAATCTATAACAGTGGTGACTTGCTTATGAATTCATGTTTGAATCCTCAGAATAACCAATGGCTTTTGCTGGGGAAGCTGGAAAATGTTTCACAGAAAAGGGAAAAAAACTTTATCTTTGGAATAAAATGATTAGGAGATGAAGTATTCCACAGGCAGACAATAGAAAATGTTTATCTGGCAAATAAGATTAAATAAAGCTTTGACTTCAAGAAAGTAAATACAACAGTTAAGGAAGAATAAGTACTTTGTGGGATATGAAGTGTGTCTGTGAGAAAAAGAGTAGTAAAGAAGGTTGGAGATAAACTGAAAATTGTTGCACATGCTGTAAGGGATGAAGGTGTCTTCCATTTCTACTTCGTTTGTCCAGCAAGTGCATCCATCCCTCTTCTGGAAGCAGACCTTGCTATAAAGCAGACATCTGACCCAGACTTGACCAATTCAGACAATGATGGCTTGAATGATATGCACCTCTCTGAAACAGGGCTAGGGTTAAAACTTTGGTGTGATTGGCACAGTCGCTTGAAACAAGAAGTGAATTTTTTCTGCTTCATGGTTAAGCAAGGACTCCCTATGATTAGGGTATCTGCTTAGTGGAGAAGACTTGTTTGACTTTGTAGAGAATAAGACCAATATGCAGAGGAAGAGCAAGCACAGGTAAGTTACAACTTAAATAAGAGTAAGTTCCAGGATGCCAAATTTCCATCCTGGTCTGTGGGGCCACAGTTCCTGGTCCTCTTCCTTTTCTTCTACAACTGACCTTCCATACCTCAGTCATATGAGTCAATGAACCCCTTCTTGGTTTCAGGAAGTTTGAGTTTGGTTTCTGCCATTTTCAATGGGAAGGGTCTGCAGGTTAAGAACTATTTTATATGGTAAGGCAATGGCAGTCACACAGAAATTTTAAGACATGAAATGGTTTTGAGCAGGTGAGTGATTGATCAAACATGCACTAGAAAAGGCCATTCTAGTGGGCAGTACAGATGATGGACTTGAGGAGGCCCATTTAGGCACCTTTATATGCCTTTTGAGAATTTGGTTCTCTGTTATTAAAGGATCTCTGACTATGGAAATAGACCAATAAGGTCAGCTCAGTTGGCACCTCTTCTCTGGTGCCTTTCTGATTTGCTCGGCTGGCAGAGTGGTCCTTTATTCTGTGTTCCTGCAGGGTTCACTTGTACCTCTGATACTCTGGGTCTCGGACTTCAGCATCCATCAGAATCATCTGGAAGGCTTTTTAAAACTAGCTTGCTTGGCTCCACCCTGGAAATTTTTGAGTCAGAAGGTCTAAGGCGGGACCTGAGAATTCTAGCACGTTCTAGTAACCATGCTTTGAGAACTGGGCCTCTAAACATTTTATTACAGCTAGATTCCAATTCATTTGCTCATATATATCTTTTGCTGAATTAAAAGTTCCTTAAGGATGTCTTATTCATCTTTGTACAACTTTCAGTAGTTACCATAATGCTTTACATACCAGTGTTATTTGATATGTACTGCTGTATGATTAACTGGAGATAAAATCAACATCTTATCATAATAAATTCCCTCAGTTACCCTTCATAGTCTCTCTCTCAAAAAAATAAAGTATGTAACTAGAAAAGAACTGAAAGGTAGAATATATTTCTTTGGGGCTGTCTAATTTTGATTACATCGTCTGTCTGAGAGGGGCTGTGGGGGGTAGCATTACCTTAGGCATCCGGTGACGTTGTAGAATATATCAAAATCCAGCAAACCATTTGCTTTTGGGTAGTCTCCTTCAGGCCACCCCGAGAAGGGGATGATGATATTCTCAGTCAAGGTGAGTAAGGCTTCTGTTATCATGAGATTCTTGAGTTTGTCATTTGAGGACAAATTCCACAACAAACCTAGAAAAAGCACAGAGTTGCCATGGGAACGTGTAGTGCAGGGTCACAACAACTGCTGGAAAGTCCAGGTAATACTTTTGCCTCCAGGACAAAAAGGTGGGGGAGGTGGAGGGGGGCTCAAGAGCCCCATTCTCAACTGGAAGAACCTGTTCATTAGATGGCAACAGAAGCTGATTAAGAACAATTACATATATATAACTTATGATATAAAATGAGCAGGTTTAAATTAATTAGGAAGTGTGAATAAGAGGCAGAAATGCTGCAACCTTGATTCCTGTTTCTCTTAAAAGACCCTACAAAGCTAACTTCATTGGGATAATAAACTCTGCACTCATCAACAGGGCGGCTTGAAATGGTCCAATTGTAACTAAGCATTCRACATTTCAAGAGTTCTATTTTTTCTCCCTTAGACACAGGGGGAGACTGTCTTTCCTGCCTCCTGCTCTGCACTGCCTGTAACTTTCACCTGACATTTGCCTCCCATTCATTCAGAGCAGGAAGAGCCTGTAGAAAGTCTTTCTCTAGGCCTGCCAACAGTAGGCTGATCAACATCACCAATTAATGTCCACTGAGACCTACCCAATGAAAGACAGAATTTATGCTGGATATCTTATGTATTTCTCATTTTATAGTTTGATACTGAAGGAAAGAAAAGAATACTGTATCTTCTCTATCTGCCAATTTACATGGTCTAAGTCCTGGTCTAGGTCTAGAACCACATTTTCACTCATACAACCTTCCCTTTCTTCTTAACCATCCCCTGCCCCCCATTAAAGAGAAAATTATATAAGCCAAGCAGAAAGATATTAATAGTCTATCCATACTTTCCAGTGCAATTGTAAGACAGATATTGAATTTGGTACTGAGAGAGTAGAGAGTAGCATGTAAATTTAGAATTTGTTTTTCTTAAAAATTAGGTGCCCAAATACTTTGGATTCAGTATAAGAACTATGTAGCCTTTGCTTGCTATTCCAGTGACTCCCAGCAGCTATAAACTTGCCTGGTCATTTTTCCTACCTCAAAAGTTCATCCCAATTCAYTGTCACTCAAGAAAGGGGAAAGAGTGAGGGGACAGAAAGAGAAGGGATGATTCTTCTTTTTTACCATTTCCTCTCCCTGTTCCCACTGCATAATTCCTACTCCTTTTTTTTTTTGGAAGGGGGGGTATCAGGAATTGAACTCAGGATGTGGCCACTGAGCCACATCCCTGGCCCTATTTTGTATTTTATTTAGAAACAGGGTCTCACTGAGTTGCTTAGCACCTTGTTGTTGCTGAGGCTAGCTTTGAACTTGAGATCCTCCTGCCTTGGCCTCCTGAGCTGCTGGGATTACAGTTGTGTGCCACCATGCCCAGCTAATTCTTATGTCTTAAATTTACTGTATTGTCTGTCCTAAGGAAGRGAGAGCACAATTACAGAGGGCAATCTACTTTATTAACTGAGCAAACATGGTGGTCTTGGCTGAATTAAGTGGCGATATCATATTCTAGTTTAATGAAATAATAGTCTGCATGGTTAAAGACTGGTAATTATTCACCCATACTTCTATTTGGCCCAATCAATTAGAATACTTTGGGCCTAATACAGTCATTTGGGCTTGAACAGTTGGCTTTGGCTATGCAAAAGGAATTGAAAAGGCAACCAAATTTCCACTGGAGCCTACACTAGCTTCCATTAGATGCAGTGGCAGTGGGTCTGCTGTCTGGTGAGGACTGATTTCTGTCTTACAGGGAGTCTTTTCCTGATCAAACTGGAGTTAGTCAGGGGCAGTCCCTCAGCCACAGGTTTTGCAACACAATGACTTCATTCCTCCCACTTCATCTTAAGGGGCCCTGGAAGTGGGACAGATAAATAAAACTCAGAAGGTGGCTGAAGACAATTTAAAGGCGAGTCTGAAACTGAGTTTTGGTTACTAAGCTACAAAAGAAAGTTTGAAAGAAAAAAGAAAAGCTTCCTGAGTTCTAAATAAGCAAACAAATTAATAGTCTCTGCCTGCCAGAGGCTTAAAAATGTGAAGCATAATGACATTTCCTCTTTTTACAAAAGACCACACAGGGCACTCAAAGGAAAAGCACACCTTACAATAAAACCAACAAGGATTAATGTGAACAAAGGGAATGGAATTTTCCTYTAACAGTCAATATTCTTTATAGCTTGGCATGCTACATTATTTCTACAGAAGTATATGGTTTGAGAAGTTTGGGTATAATTTCTGAATTTTTAGTATAGGGTATTGTATAGAAATGTCATGGCCATCAAATTTCTGGATGGCATGAAGCTGTGAGAGAGCCAAAATGCTCAATAGAGATTTGGGGTTATATACTTAAATGCTCATACCCTCAACACATATACATACAAAATCAGTAAGTAATCAGCCGTGAACTGGGACAATATGTACAATGTGAGGCAAAGAGTCAACACTTTGAACATATAAATTATTAAAAAGAGAGATACCAGTAGAAAAATAGGGAAAACACTTAACACATAACCAAATGATATTAAGGCAAATACAAACAGGAATGCATGTYGTCTAGTAACTGAAGAAAGGCAAATTTAAACAGCTAGCCATCATTTTGTCTAACTATGGGAGGGTGAAACCAGAAGCAGATTCTAGCTCCTTTTGAAGAAATCATAAACACCTATTTGTAAGAACACTGAACTGGGTAAAAGTGAGCTCATCCCTTACCAAAATGTTGACAAGAATTTATAGTGAAATTAGYGTTAAGAGTAGCAGATTCCAAATGAATATAGTGATAAATCAGAATCACACTCAGATCAGAATCATACTTGGGCTATACCCCAAATTTACTAAGTCAGAATCTCAGGATGGAGCCTAGGAATTTGTATTTAAAAAATTCTAACTTTTGGCCCTAGGAAACCAGATGACTAGATGATTCTGAATATATGTCCATTTCAATGATCAGATTCACTAATGTAATGTTTAGTATTTAGCTTTCCATTTGTGTCACTTTTAACTTCTGGTCARCTTATTCATAAGTTTCCATCACAGTTCTTGGTTGCAGCAGGTAAGCCTGAAATTTTAAGCTCTCATTCTAACCCAAAGAAAGGGATGTGGATTTTGATAAGACACACTATTAGAATAATTATGAAAGAGACAATGACTCCATTATCCAGAAGTTTACTGCCAACTGTGAGATCTGAAAAAAATAGGTATTTAGTAAAGGGATTTTACAGATATTAAAACCCATTATTTTGTTAATATTGTCCTCTAGGACAGAAAATATAATTTTTAAACTAAATTTCTGAATCTGGATTAACTTTTGGGTAGCAAAACTTACATATTTTATATTAAATGAATCCCTATCTTCATTGAAGAAGGAGGAGGAGATAATAGTGACAGGACAATAGGAGAGAAAATTGGCTCTTTTTAACCTTGGTTTTCAAAGTGAGTACACAGCAGGAGGATTTTTTTTTTAAATTTTCCCTTAGATGTATTTACTGCTCCTTCCATCTAAATTTTGTTAATATTGCCTGGAATATCAGATTATTGCTAAGGCTATTTATTCCAAGTCATACACAAACCTAGAACACTCTGTTGTGCATTTTGAGTGCAGACTAAAACAATATACAATATTTAAAGATAAATAATGAATATTTCATAGTAAAACATTTTTGATGTTTTATTGAAATGCAGCAATAGAATCTTTCTAAAAATATGCAGAGGTAAATTTGAATTTTCAAAGTTTACTGACAATCATCCCCTGACTCTTCCTTGTAAGCATGCATAGGAGGGGCAAGAACCTCTGCTTTGTTCTTACCATAACCTGTTTTAACCCAAGGTGCAGGCCTGCTCACTCCAGCAATGTGCACTTACTACTCAGTGACCTTTAAGACAAACTTCTAAGACCAGAATGTGCTGTTCTCATTTCAGTTACAGAAAGAGTACCACAATTGCCTCGTAAGACCAAAAGAACTATCTTATGGGGCAAGGGGGGCTGGTTATCTTTGACCCTGAAGTATTTTCATTAGAAGAAAATGAAAGTTTCTCTCCTAAACTGGTGCCAAAAGGTTGAGTTTATGTTCTTTCCTAGTGAATAAAGTTCTGATGCTGAATTTTCATGAATACATAGAAATAGATGGTTTATTTTTTAAAAAATATTTTGGCTAGAAAAATCAGGGTCTTATCCTAAATCTCACCTACTCTCTTGTTTGTGCGTCATCTGGATATTCCAAGACCACAAGACTCTGTTACACTCCGTCAGACATCCATAGTTAAAAGAGCTATAGTTGGTACCACAATTAAATATACAGGCATGACGTAAGTGGCAGCCCAGTATTAAAGGATGCAGTAATAGTTCAGAGAAGCCCCTTCCTTTAAAACGTGAGGGGGTAAGAATGGAAGGATGGYGCCTGACATGCTTCACAGAAGTGGATCTGTGTCAGGATAAGAGGTTCTCCAGGGAGTTAAGGTGTGGAGAAGGACTCTAGCCCATGCAACAGCAGAGACAAAGATACCAAGACAGAAAACACACTGGACAGACCAGCAGGCCTTTTATTATTTCAGAACCGTGGCTAGAAGGGTCATCAGGCCTACATCAAAAAATCTTTGTATAGTATGTCCTGGAGTTCAGATTTTTTCTTATTGGTACTAATTAGAGTAATGGGACAGTGTTTTTATTTCAGAAAGAAATCCTTACAAGCAGAGAGAGGAGGATAGATTGGCAAGGTGCAATTCTGAATCACAGAGAAGAGACAAGGCAAAAGCAAGAAGAGTGAGGAAGGGTCAGAGAGGAGCTGGGCAGAACTCTCTGAGTCAAGAGTCTCAAACACAAGCTGTTTCCCAAAGACATAAAAAGTGAGTCAGTATGTGTCTCAAAAGGAGTACATGGCATAATAGAGCAACACATGCAGATGAAACCAGGTTCAAACCTGGGCTTTGCTCTTTACTGGTTGTGTAACCTTGCACAACTTATTTCCTGCCTCTGAGGCTCACATTGATCATGTGTATATCATCAATTATACTCCCACCCGTTATGGAGTTGGCAGGAGAATCAGATGAAAAGACAGCCCTAGCTGAGCCATTAACTCATAATAGGAACCCAACAAAAGGTCTATGAAGTAGGCCGACAGAAAAGATTCACATGTATGGTTACTTGCTTTATGTTTCTAAACAAAGATTCAAATGTGTCTCAATTAAGTCAACTATTTCTGAAGCCCAGAAAGCACTTATTTAGCTCTTCTATTTGTAAAGCTAAAAGGAATTATTTAGAAGGATTGGCATTAAATGTCCAAGTATCAATTCGGTTCAATTATAATGAACACCCTCCAGTAGGGAGTTTTGGCTTGTACTGCAGACCCTGGGTATTGTACAATCAATTTCCATTTTCAGCTCTATAGATTATTTGATGTTCTGGATGGTTTCTATGGCATCTATATCACAGAATGTTCTCTGACTTTAGTTTCCTTTAACTTGTACAAGAGAGGAGGAAGGGTGGCTTATTGGTTTACTTCTTTGAAACATACATACACACATACTCTCTTTTTCTCTCTCACCCCAGCTTTCCAATTTCTATGTACCCTAACTTCAACCAGTCTATATTCCAGGTTTATTCTACATATCAAACAGCTATTTTTTCCTTTTTGCTTTCCAGTGATGTTCATTTTGCTAGAAATAACTTTCGTTCTTCCTCAAAGTCCATCTAAAGCCTGTCCCCTCTTCTAAGACCCACAATGAGRCATACCTGCTTTATGGAATCTTTTCTGGCTCTAAAGTAGGAAACTCTGTTTGAKTCTCTCTTGTGGTTCATTACTACATTTAATGGAGAAAATATTGGGTTCTAAATGTAAAGTTTATACTTMTATTTTTATGCCAACCATCACATAATTTTTCATGCTTTAGCAGATGAAAAAAAAAATCAACAACCTTCCTGGATTGTGCTTCTCAGTGCCCAAAGGCTGCTGGAAATGTTGGCCAAATGAATGAGCTCACTCACTCTTAATTTCTACAGATATTTTAATATAAATCATGTATATGAAAAGAAATCTCTCATGGGACATACTGGCAGAAGGTAGCATAGAACAACTTCACATAGCTTTATACAATTAAAATATATCATCAGAATAAAGAAAAATATATTTTAACTAAGACATAATGACAAAAATTTTTTGTAGAAAAAATTAAGAGTTGTCTAATAAGGTATGAAAGMCAGAAAGGCAAAAATGTATTCAATATACAACAATATTTATGTAGCTCCTCCTTTTAAAGYATCTATCAGAGCACTGTCAACTGTTAATACATTTTTGAAAACCAATTTTTTGTTTGATGTAGTAAAAGCCATTAACTTCTTTGAGCCTTAGTTTCCTTGACAATAAAACTAAGATTTAATCCTAATAATACCTCAAAACCTAAGGTTTCTTTGATAATTAAGTTGCAAAGTGCCTGTGCACCTCTTTGAGACACTGATGATACTTAAGCTCCTCAAGAAAATACTACTGATGATTGCAATCGGCAACACATCCTGTGCTCTTTGGAATGTGTGCAGGGAGCCTTAGCAGACAGCTGAGGGTGACAGCAGGGAGGGTGGTTTATGTGGGAACCACAGACCCTTTCCTCCTCTTTCATTTACCCAATTCATTTAAATGAAACTAGCCWGGTCTTTATGCTTCAAGGATGTACTACTAAAGGTCTTGCTCTAGTTCTATCTGGATAGTTCATCTTCTCTATCCATTGGGTAGAAAGCAGAYACATTCAAATCAGCATTCAAACAGAAATATGAAGTAGAGAACTAAAAACTGCATTCAGCTACTCTTTCTTCTCCTTTTGGGGATGGAGGTATTACTGAAGAGGGATTCAGGTGATGGAAAGATAGGATTAACAGTTTCTTGTTTTTTTTGTTTTTTTTTTCCTTTTTGGTACCAGGGATTGAACTCAGGGGAACTTGACCACTGAGCCACATCCCCAGCCCTATTTTGTATTTTATTTATAGACAGGGTCTCATTGAGTTACTTAGTGCTTCGTCATTGCTGAGGCTGGCTTTGAATTTGCAATTCTCTTGCCTCAGCCTCCCAAGCCACTCAGATTACAGGTGTGTGTCAATGCGCCCAGCTCAGTTTCTTGTATTTTGACTAATATGATTAAATTGATACCCTCTACATTGGAAAACTATTTGTCCATTTCACCTTCCTTGTACAGGTCACAGCAAGCTGGCTAACTGGCAAATAATAAAAAATAATTGTGTGGGGTTCTTGTTAGTTTCCTGAAGAATGTTTTGGAAACATGGACAACATTGAAACCCCACACATTCTCAAACTACAAATCTGGCTGTTAGTGAATTTATGCAGAATTTTCATGTAGTGACTCTTGTCAAGAAGTTGTTTTCAAGACTTTTGTCAAAGGTGCAAAGGGTTTCTAATGAAAAATATTAAGCAAAGGCTTCAGAATATTTTCCTCTTTAGAAAAAAAGAGTTCAGATATGGTTTGAGTCTGGGCACTAAGCCAGCAGGTAACAATGTTCCTTTAAAGGCATCTCTTGGATAACAATGAGCTCATCAATCAACTGTTCCAGGAAACTTAAGAATAACACATGACATAACGTATCTGGCTGGGCGGACTGCTATGCTATGTAATGTTCAGTAAGCACTACCTGTTATTTGCTTTTTAGTCTCCAAGTCTCTGGTTTGCTTCAGCACCTGGAGCAGCCGAGGTACCCCATTGAGTTCAGCAACCTCCAATTTGTTGTCATTGTCCTCAAATACCAAGTTTCTCAAGGCCCCRCACACGGCTCGCTGTACATCTTCATTCTGGACTTTGAGTAGCTGTAGAAGCTTGGGGATGCCACGAAGCTGATTAACCTGGGGAAGAAGTGGGTRCATATTCCTAACATTAATTTTGATGTGGTAGTAATGCATTTCATGCCTTATGAACAGATGAAGTTCACTATGTTAACTGCAATACTTGTCAGTCAATAACTGTACATAGCGCAACTTGGGACTCACACTATATAATACACCCCTGCTGCAAAGCAGTATCTGTCATCAGCAGCTTGAAGGGGGAAGGTTAAATGATAGAGGGTGGACAGAGTTATTTAAGTAGGTAACAGAAGTTAAGTGATAAAAGCCTGGGCCATAATAAAAAAAAGAAGACAACTAGGGATCAGGGGAATAAGAGAAATTTTAGAGAAGAACACCAAATTACATGAGTACTTTTTACAGGACAAAACTTTACCATCAATAATGAAATGAATCACCTTCATCAATAGTAGAAGTAAAAATTCATTTATCRTGGCAATATTAATAGTAATGCAACCTAACTCCAAATCCAAGTTATTTTTATGATCAATTATTTTGAGTATTTAAAAAAGGTTTACATAAATTTTTCAAGAATTTTAGTGTAAGTAAATAATTTTATGCTTTTTTTTTCAAATTTTTTTTAGTTGTAGATGGACACAATATCTTTATTTTATTTATTTATGTTTTTGTGTGGTGCTGAGGATTGAACCCAGTGCCTCATGCAGGCAAGGCAAGTGTTCAACCACTGAGCTATAACCCCAGCCCCTAATTTTATGCTTTTTGATGTACTATTAAAAAAATRTTTCTTTTAGTCCAGCACAGTAGTGCATGCCTGTAATCCTAGTGACTTGGGAGGCTGAGTCAAAGTCAAGTTTGAGGTCAGACTTAGAAACTTAGTGAGACCCTAAGCAATCTATTGACCATCTCTCAAAATAAAAAATAAAAAGGGTTGAGGATATAGCTGAGCAGTAAAAGTGTCCCTAAGTTCAATTCCCAGTGCAACCAAAAAAAAAAATATATATAGATATATGTTATATATATTACATATATATTATATTATATATATGCACACACAYATATATTACATATATACATATACTTACATACATACACACACATATCCAAATACATAGGAAAGAACACATTGTCTATTGGAGAAAATGCCACAACTAGCAATGAAAAAGAAAAAAACACCTGGTTTAGATTCAGAAGCTACTATGGCTGCTTAGAAAAGGTCAAATAATATCAATTTGAGTAAATCAGTTTGGTGTTTTAGGCTGCAAATATCATCAAATGAAAAGGGAAAGGTGGACTGAGGGTAGGTACAAAGAAATGTTAAGTTGTAGTCTGATGGCTTTCCCTCTTAAAGGCTTCCATTTGCATCCAATTTGAAAACTTTTAAGTTGGTGAGAGACTTGGGTACAGATCTCAGTCATTAYGACCATCTTAATGCAAAAATTTCAGGTAGCAAGTTTATGAATAGGGATGAATTTTTCTTTCAAATGAGGTTAGTTAGGTATGAAAGGTATCCTAACTGCCAGCAGTCTGCCCTGTGTGTGTGTGTGTGTATGTGTGTATGTGTGTGTGTGTGTGTAGGGGTGTGGGAGTGGCACACCTGGTTTAAAGGCACATTTGCATGTATTCTATATCAAATTCCAGCTACCCTCTCTTATTAATAGTAAAGATAGTATTTATGACACAATCTACCAATCTTACATTTTCCTTTGTTAGCATTGGGAAAAGACTACAAGGAAGGGATGAATGAAAGTCCAGGTTGTAAAACAATCTAAATAATAATAATAATAATAATAATAATAATAATAATAAAAGTAATAAGTACAATAACAATAAAGCAAAAATAACAACTCTTCCTCTTCTTGTATCTTTCAATAAGAGGTGTCACCATAGTCTTAAAAAGTTCTATAGACATTAACTAATTAAGAGCTTATAAGACCTTTAAGAGGGCCAGGCATGGTGGCACACACCTGTAATCCCAGTGGCTAAGGCAGGAGGATCACAGGTTTGAAGCCATACTCAGCAATTTAGCAAGGCCCTAAGCAACTTAGTGAGACCCTGTCTCTAAATAAAAACACAAAAAAAGGGCTGGTGATGTGGCTCAGGAGTTGGGCGCTCCTGGGTTCAATCCCTAGTACCAAAAACAAAACAAAATAAAATAAAACAAACCTTAAAAGGAAAGTGCTCTTTTTAAAATAGGACACATAAAAACATAACTGTTGTATATGTCACTAGGATATCATGGGATGTATCAATACAGAGCAAAGCACTTTTTGATACCCTTAAGGCTTCACTGGTATTAATGAGCAGTAACACTTTCACTTATTGGCTTTCTTATACTTGAACAATAAGAGACAGATGGGAAATCAGCCAGAGCAATTCTGTTTGGCTATAACTAAGGCCATTCTAATATATTCATACATCAATGCCAATAATAAAGATTTCTTAGGTACCCGTTCGAACTGGTGCAAAAGATCCACATCTACTTGTTTGCTTCCTCTATTTCCATTATTATACTTCCTTAAGAGCAAAAAAATAAGAGCACAATTTAAGACAACTTATAGTTCTCATGTTTCTCTAATGTCCTAAATTTTTATTTTATAGTTAAGTTTTAAGGTAGCAAAATTCATACTTCATGAACTTCACAAATGGCTAGCTAAGCCAAATCTTCACAGCAGCAGCAGATACATCAGAAGCAAAAAGAAAATGCTGTTTGTCCTGAGGTACTTTGGCAGCTTTAGAAATATTTTATTAACTTAATTTATAATTTATAAGTTGCCTTCTTCAAAATATGATGTGAAATGGCTCACTGGCCATATTGCATTTCAAGCTGTTAAGATAGGATTAGTGAGAAGTGGAATGAGGAAGCCTCTCTGGCTCTCACCGGTCACCTATATCCCCTTGGCTTTCAGCACTTGCTCCAGTCCGGAAAGAGGGTACTGCAGACATGACAGTGTACAGATAAAGGCTGAAATCCGGCTACTTTTCTACCTACTGTAGAATTTGACTCCCTAGTGTCTGGAACTTAACCCAGGTTTAAAAATAGGCTTTGGTTTCTTTTATCCACTTTATCAAACAAATGGATATAAATCTGATGAAATGCAAGAAGTGAGAACTCTTCCCTTGGGCATTTAACTAGAGRATGGTAGATGATGAATCATGTATAGATTAGGATCAAAATCAAATGTGCTGCTTTTGTCCCTTAAAACTCAGGGAGGCAGTTGAGACCAGAAATGTTTGACGAGTTTCCTTGTCATATTGAATCCTCAGGGGACTTTTTCTTCTTTTGAGGAGAGAAAAAAAGAAATCACTAGCATAAAGTCTCAGAACTTCAAAAAAGCTTTAATTTGAAATGGTTTCTAAATTTATGAACGGGCAGAATCATATTAGAATTTTATCTTTCTCTTTGGCTTTCTGTTAACATTCTTCCCTGCTAACTATAAAATAAGTAAAGGAGCCAGGAGTGRTGGTGCACACCTGTAATCCTAGCTACTTTGGAGGCTGAAGCAGGAAGATCATAAAGCAAGGCCAGTCTGGGAAACTTAGTGAGAACTTGTCTCAAAATAAAAAATAAACAGGGGTGAGGCTCAGTAATAGATAGAGCATCCCTAGATCCAATCTATGGTTAACCCTCACCCCCCACCCCCGGCACATACACTCAAATAAGTAAATGATGGGGTTTCAGGTGAAAAATAAGCAGCATGGGAAACACCTGACTTTGGAGAAAAAGGCTGCGGTACTGCACAGTCTTTGCTCTCACGTCCTTCCCTGTCTGGAATGTTCTGCCCACTTTTCTATTCTGGCGAAGCCCTGCTCATCCTGCATGATCCAGCTCAAATGTCACCTTCTTCGTGAAATGTCACTCCCTTCCTCTTTCCTTCCCATTAGAATTAATCACTCCCTATAAATCGGTCTAACCTTTCAGGAAGGTAATTGGCAACATGTGTCAAAACTTTAAAAATATTTGCTTCTGGTAACCTTCATTAGGAAATAGTGTGAAATGCAGACACACACTAATATATAAAAATAGTAACTGCAGTATTTATAATAATGAAAAATAAGGAACCATAGAAAGCCAACAGTGAAGGAGAAGCAGTTGGTGACTGTCACATATCCACATGTTGAGATATTCATGGGAGAGGCAGAGCAGTGTTTGAACTGACAGACATTTTATTAGTCATACATTTTCCCCATCAGTCAAATGGAATTGTGTAAGGTTAATTATCATGTGCTAGGCACACAGTAGTTACTTAACACTTAGTAGTTACTACTATTACCATTAAAATGCTACCATTAAGCTAATGTTTAAAAAATATTATTAGTGTTATGAGAAAATGCTTATGATACACTTTTCAAAGGTRGAATAAAATATATCTGCATTTCCACTCATAAACACAGGCACAGAGAAAAACAGGATTAGGGGATTTGGGAGAAGTGATCAAAGGCATAAATCATGAATGGAATCTGCTATTTTTTTAAGGGTATATCTGTGCATACTTAAAAAATTTTAAAATCCCCACAAAACAAGCTACATATCCAACTTGGTTGCAGATATGTAAGTTTATGTGTTTAATATCAGAGGAAAAACCCTAAAATAACAATGGTAGGATTAAGGGTATTTTTTTTCTTTTTTAAKTCTCAAATTTCTTATAATGAACTTAAATTAGTTTTGTAAGATTTTGCAAAACATTTATAGTGGTCACTACTTCAGTGATAAGATTTGAAATAAACATGGAAAAGGACCATTTAAAAAAGGGTGTTGCAGATTAAATTAAAGGATTTATCTTTAATCCAGCAGGCAAGATCGGCATTAATTGGAAAGATCTCCCTAAAAGGAGACTGGATTGGGAGTAGGTARGAATGGAAGTAGGGATATTAGTTAGGAGGCCACTTGGATTAACAGATGATGGTGACAGGGACCAGGATAGTAGAGCTGAGTAGGGAGTAAAAGGTGGGTATTGGATTAAAGATATTTTTACAAATAGTATTAGAGAACTTGAACACTGAGTAAAAACAAAAGGGAAGAAAAAAAACCCCAACAACCTTTT